GTCCCTGTGACTTTATGCTTATGAAATATAGAAAACTGAAAATTTTCTTCTTATATATTTAGGAAAACACATTGTCAAAGGAGGAAAAAATAGATCAGTTGTTAGCAGGTAAGTGGGAAAACAACGGTAGTGTTGGTTTTTGTGACTAACAAATAAGTTATAACCATGGAGAAAGGAGAAAAGGAGCTCCCAGATGTGAACACAGTTTAAATCAGTGAAGTTCTAAGGATGCTGTCTGTGGCCTCCATAAAGAAAATTCTTTACCTTCATGTGTCTGTTGAAAGCATGGTCCTTCATAAAATTATTCTCCCCCTAAAACTTTCCATTTCATATAAAACATAAAATAGAAATTAAAATGGTCTTGCTGCTCCTATTTATCTAAAGGTAAGCCTTCTATTTTTTTCTATAGGTGATTTTAAATAAAAATTCAAATGTTATTTCTGAGAGTCTAAACAATTCATTATTTGCAGTTTATAATTCATCCCACAGCACAGGACAGATCCTCCAAACAGAAAATTAACAAAGAAATAATGGACTTAAACAGAACTCTAGAACAAATGGGCCTGACTAACATTTACAGAACATTCTACCCCAAAACCACTGGAGATACGTTCTTCTCATCAGCTCATGGGACATTCTCTAAGATTGACCATATCCAAGGTCACAAAGCTCGTCTCAGAAAATTTTAAAAAATGGAAATTATACCATGCATCTTCTCAGATCACAGTGGAATAAAATTAGAAATCAACCCTAACAGAAACTCCCATTTCTACACAAAGTCGTGGAAACTAAACAACCTTCTGCTGAACGATTCCTTCATAAACGAGGAAATCAAGATGGAAATCAAAAGATTCTTTGAACTAAATGACAAAGGAGACACAAGTTATCAAAATCTGTGGGACACAGCTAAAGCAGTCCTGAGAGGAAAGTTGATTTCCATAAATGCCTATATCCAAAAGACAGAAAGATTACAAATAGACAACCTAATGAATCATCTCAAAGAGCTGGAAAAAGATGAACAGACCTACCCCAAACCCAGCAGAAGAAGTGAAATTAATAAGATCAAATCAGAACTAAATGAAATTGACAACAGGAAAACTATATGGAAGATTAATAAAACAAAAATTTGGTTCTTTGAAAAAATAAACAAAATTGCCATGCCTTTGGTTAGACTAATGAAAAGCAGAAAAGAAAAATCTCTAATAAGCTCCAACAGGGACAAAAAAGGAGAAATTACAACCAATGCCACAGAGATACAAGATATCATCTATGAATACTACAAAAACCTTTGTGCACATAAACTGGAAAATGTGGAGGAAATGGACAAATTCTTAGAAACACACAGCCTCCTTAGGCTCAACCAGGAAGAAATAGAATTCCTGAACAGACCAATATCAAGTACTGAAATTGAAACAGCAGTAAAAAAACCTTCCTAAAAAGAAAAGCCCTGGGCCTGATATTTTCACACCCGAATTTTACCAGAGCTATAAGGAAGAACTGGTGCCTGTCCTGCAGAAATTATTCCACAGCATCGAGAAGGATGGATTCCTCCCCAACACATTTTGTGAAGCCAACATAACCCTGATACCAAAACCAGGAAAGGATGCAACAAAAAAAGAAAACTACAGACCAATATCCCTTATGAATATAGATGCAAAAATTCTCAACAAAATCCTAGCAAACCGAATCCAGGTGCTTATCAAAAAAATAATCCATCACGACCAAGTGGGCTTCATCCCAGAGATGCAGGGATGGTTCAACATATGCAAATCTATAAATGTAATTCACCACATAAATAGAAGCAAAAACAAAAACCATATGATCCTTTCAATAGATACAGAAAAAACATTTCATGAAATTCAACACCCTTTTATGATAAGAGTGCTTAACAAAATAGGCATAGGCGGGGCTTACCCAATTTAAATTTTTTAATCAGTTTTTAAGTGGTTGAGCAAATATGCTTTCTTACAGATGTGTGAAGTCACAAGTGTGGGTATATTTAACAAAATTAACTCACAACATTAATAAAATAAGTATTTTGAAAAGAATATAAAAAGAGAAACCAGTTTGATACAAGTATAAAATTGTTTATTCTAACTAAGAATTAGAAAACAACAAAGTTGTTTTCATGATTGCTTTTTGGCAACATGCTATGAATAAAAATGTGTGCTTACCTTGGCAACAAGTGATAGAGATAATGGAATTTCTGGAGTAAAGACAGTTGGCTCAAAAACTTATCTGAGATGATGTCTTCTTTATGTTTATTTTAATGCTGTATTTCTGTCTTCAGAAAAAACATTCATTGAGTTGCTAAAGATGTTCATTCTTTCGGCTTCTTCGTACTTGGTTCTTAAAACATGTAGACTCAACTGAAAATATAAGCTTTCAAAATTAATTTTTCTCACCAGTCATATCATCCCTAGGAATTTATTGAAGAAGAAACGCAGGTATAAAAAGTTCTTGTTCTGAAAATGTGTACTGTGTTATTTTTAAATAAAAATCATTGATAATAGCCTAAATGTCCAATAGCTAAGAACTCATTAGGTAAAGTATGATGCATCAGGTTGATGTGTCCTAATCATTGTGCTTCCATTAAATGAAAATTGCAAGAGGACAAAAGCAAATGGAAAAATGTTCCAATACTAATTAGAGAAAAAAAAAAACAGGAAAAAAATGTATTTGCAATATGATTACAGGTAAGCAGAAAATCCATATGTATGTAGACAAGAACAGGAAGGGAACCAGGAGAGAATGTTGGGCAGGGACTGAAGGTACATTTTCCTATCGTAAAGCTATTTGTGGCATAAATAAAACTAGTTTTACAAAGTAGATCGTGCTGTGAATTGGACATTTTGCCAAGGAATAGTTTTGGAGCAGCCTTTCAGACAAGTGGAAGTTGATGCACTCATCTCTCATGTGCAGGCAAATTTCACTTCACCTGCCAGATCAATGCAAGGTGTATTCCCAGCGCCCCATTTTTGGGAATACCGAACAAACATGCCGAGAGGGCTGCTTACACCTTGCAGATTCCTGTTGGCATTAGGCTTGACTTCCTTAGATACTGACACATCACAGGGTCACTGTGTAGTAACTTGGGTTAGCTCAGTTGTTCTGTGTTTATTTGAGGTTAGCTCAGAAATTATTCTTGAGGTGGTATATAAGCCATCCCTTCCTTAATCACTTGATCCATCCATCAAGCCATCCATCCCTTGATCCAAATAAATCCTACCCCTTATCTAATGAAATTAGTTTTCATTTCCAGTACAGTTGAAAGCAGGGTCACTTTTGAGTTTCCTCTGTAGATGTCCTTAAATGCCATTTCTCCAGGCATCACTCACTGACTAAGACCTCCTAGTTGCTACCTTAAATACTTTACATCTCAAATGGAGCGTGCTGATTTCTCTCCCACCTTCTGCACATGGGCTCCTGTTTCAACCGGCTGCAGAATCTCACCACTCACTATAGCTGGAGTCGGGCATCACCTCCAGCTCCCTGTCCTCCAGCACCATGGCAGTCTACTTCTGAAGTATACCCCACCTATATGACCACTGGCCATGGCCATCCACAGGCCACCATGTGGTCTTGTCTCTCTCAAGGACTGTGTTAACGTGCCACCCACTTGGAAGCACAGAGACTTGCCTAGAAACCTTCTGAAACTCCCCATTACCCAGACAGCACATGCACAACTCCTTAGTTTGAGCATTTAGGGCCTTCTGCTGTCAGGTTCGCTTTCCTCTCATACAGACCTCTATGTAAGTGCTGTTCCTGTGTTGCCCTGAGGGTCTTGCCTAGAATATTCCTCAGACCATTCCTCCAACGGGAAAGCTGTGCTTCCTGGATTGGTGATGTTAAAAAGATTTTTTTTCCATTGCCACATTCTAAATGACAAGGGCATGATACTACACGTGGAGTAGGAATTTGGGCACCAAATTGGGATTCTGTGTCCCTGTCTTATACGACAGAAGTGCATATTGTTGGGAAGATGAGGGTAGCATTTAAAAAGGAGCTTGCTTATAGCCTTAGTAATCATTAAAACAAAACAGAAAAGAGCCTTATCTGTGGCAGTACAGTAGTTTGTTTCTGTGCACACACGACCGAAATACCGTTTGTGCAGAGAGACAGCGAGCGAGCGTGGTGGCAGCCTGACATTAACAAGGGAGGAGGCAGACAATGAGTGCATTGGCGGTTGTTGCACTTTCTGTTTTCTTTATATCCTTTATCCTCAAGTTCCAACCTCCCCCTCATCCAGTGCCTTAAAAAAATGTGATACTTAATGAATTTTCTTCACATGCCTCTGGCAGGACACTATTGAAGCTTTTTTTTTCCCCACTACAACAAAAGGCAGGGAATAGTGTTTTTGAGCTTTTCAGAGGCTTGGCTACTGTAACTATCCAATAGAGGCATAACCAAGAATCGGGTTTTCATATTCTTGAAAATAAAAATATGAAATTAAATGTCTTCTGATAATATATCAGCTCTAAAAAATGTCTTTATTTGTTCTATCCAAGTGTTTCTTTAATATTTCTATTAAGAAAATATGGAGGGTTTTTTTCATGAAAATTGAATATTTTAATAATGTTACAAGGTGTCCCACCTATCCTACTTTTTATCTACCCTGTTCCAGAGAGGAGTAGAAAGAGAATTTTTTTCAAAATATCCAGAGAATAGCTGTGAAAGGGATAAAAGAATTTAAACCTTTTAATATATGTATAAAAGATAGTGTTTGCATCATGAAGATATTTTTCTAAATTCATTACAATATTGGGGAAGTAATTCTTTGAGTGATCAGATCTTTTAAGTGTGAGAAACAAAATAAAAGTAGTCTCGATTTAGGAATTAGCTGTTTAAAATGCATATTATTCATCCCTATATTTGAACAATTTGTCCAAAATACAATCCGTTCATATAGGATTTTTCCTGTTGAGATCTAAGTGGGAATCAATCAGTAGTTCCTTTGTTTGTCACCATGGAAACCAGTCAGCCTATCTGGAATGGCTCTTAGGTCACACAGAACGATGCTCGTGTCTCAGCCTAACTTCCTCACTGAGTAAGCTGGAGCTGATTTCTCGCTGCCTCGGCTCTTGCCTCCCTGGAGCCCCATGCCATGCAGGTGCAGGACGCACCCCGGCGGCCCTCGGCCGTGCACTTCCTCAGCTCCTTTCTCCACGGCCGCCGACACTCTACCTCGGACCCCGTCCTGCGGCTGCAGCAGGCCCGGCGCGGCTCTGGTCCCAGCTCTGCCACGAAGCTCTTGTCCTCATCCTCCCTCCAGGTGATGGTGGCTGTGTCTTCAGTCTGCCGTGCCGAGGGGAACCCAACTTTCCCCGAGAGAAAAAGTAAAGCTCTCTTTCTTATCGATTGCCACACCTCTGTATCTAAATTTAAGGAATGTGAATAGGCTATGTTGCGTTTATACCTTTGTAAATATTGGCAGTTAATTCTGTGTTATACTTTTTACTGTCTGTTATGCTAAGTACTTCAGTGGATACGTAAGAGGAGATAAAATGATGGAATGTTTTGTGGTTTTTTTAATGAAAATGTAGTTTTGAACAAAACTCATCCCCTTGTAAAAGATCTGCCTTTACAGTTTCTGCCTCTCATTATTCATATGTGTGGAGATTATTATATGTGAAAGCTTTTTTAATATTAAGAGATAGCGCATTTAGATGAAAAGGAAATGGTTTTGTTTTCTTAACAAGCTGAAGGGGATTTAGCTCTGGCTTGTCATCTGCCATCCTGGTATAAAATGGAAGCTGTTTCCCATGTTGCTGTTTCATTTGGAGAGTGGAATTGTGAATCTTCCCTTCCCTGTGTGTTCTAGGAAATTCAGAACGTCCAACACCAAAGTACACAAAAGTAGGAGAGCGTTTACGGCATGTCATTCCTGGACATGTGGCATGTTCCATGGCGTGTGGTGGTAGAGCGTGCAAGTATGAGAACCCAGCCCGCTGGAGCGAAGAGGAGCAAGCCATTAAGGGGGTTTACTCGTCCTGGTGAGTGGCCCTGTCAGTCTTGCATAGCTCTGTAAGCTGAAGGAAGGAAGCTGTGTGTGAGCTGAGAGCCATGCCACATGGAAGGGGCAGTGGAAGGCTTTGAAGTCAGGACCTCACCTTGCCAGTCAAGTCTGGCTTTGCCCTAAACCACCTATGTGATCTTGGCGTCTTGAACCTAAGTTTCTCCATCTGTAAAATAGAGATAATAAAACCAAACCCATAGAATTTTTTTTTAATTAAGTGAAATTATATATGTAAAGCATCTTTAAAAAATGGCTAATTAGATAGCTCTTAAATTTCAGAAATAATAGAAATGTACAGCTATAAGTTTGAGAAAATTATGAGATACCTATGTAGGTTTTCCATTTCATGCAGGTAAATTTTAGCCTAACTTTTATGTTCCTTTATTCTGTATGAAAGGACACATTTTCACACAAAAACCTTAATAGAAATGTTACAAGTTGTCAGCTCAGTAGATAACATAAGATGCTTTCATTGTTTATGGTGTGTAAGTGCAATTAATATCATTCTTGAATCATGCTACTTGTTGTTAGTAGCAGTGAACTAGTCAGGCGTACCTTTCTTGATATAGTGACATCCAAAAAATTCTGTTAATCAAATCAGATCATATTGAAACACACTTAAAGGAATTCACTGTTTAAAGAATTCTAGCCGTGAATTATTTTACGCAGCAAGAATCCATTTTTAATTAGATATTTGTCAGCCAGCTTATCTAACTTGCAACCTGTACTTTTTCATAATGGATTTGCTGGGTACATCTGTAGTGATCCAGTCTGGGGTCTGCTATCATTATTGTTCTCCACAGATCACGTTCTGGTCTATCACTATCACGCTAGTGATAAGAAGTAAACATCAATCCTAAGGCATAGTCACACAAGAAAATTTCTAATTAGCTTAAGGTCACATTAATATTTTTGTTTTATTGTTGACTGAACAGTTTGAGTCTTTTTCATCTCTGCTGCTTTCCTGTCACATCTCCCCTCATTATATACGGAGTATCATTGAATTTGGAGAGCCCTAAACCTTTGGGGTCCATGTTAAATTTCATGCATTGTTCCAGAGAGGGAGATGGTTTTTAGATCCTGCCCTGCTAACCTAATGTCTCTGTTATTCCTCTGAGATTCATGTAACCCAAACTTCCAATAGCCTGCCTTGTGTATCTTTAACCAGGCCACTGATGAGAAATTTGAACAGAACAGAGTAAAGCCAGGGCCCAGAGGCCTAATAAGAGTGACAGCCATTTATTGGACCTCTGTACATTCATTTGTTCGGTAAACCTTCATTTGGGTAAAGGCCAGGCACTATGCTAGATGCTTTCGAATTGTTATCTCTCATCTTCATAAAACTCTTGTGAGTTGTTAATGCCACTCCATCGATGAAGGAATTGAGTTTCAGAGAGACTAAGTAATTTGCTGCCAACCTAGAAAGTAGAAAAGCTAGCATTTGAAACCAGGCCCAACTGACTCCAGAGCCCGTATTTGTTGCAAAATTACAGTAACTCAGCATTTATTTATAACCATGTGCCAGGATTTGTGCTGAAGACTTTACACCCACATTGTATTGAATTCTCACACCAACCCTGTGAGGCAGGCATTATTATCCCTATTTAACACCTTAGGTTACAGGTTCAGATAGTTGAGTAACTAAAAATGCCTCCCAGTGGCCCTCCTCATTTAGTCACTAACCATTGGATAACTAATCCAGACTGTTGCCTTTGCTGCCCATTGAGGTTTCTCCCTCATGTCCACTGGAATGTCTCGAAGGTCCTTGAAAATACTTTGTTGAGTCCAAAAATAATTTATGTCCTGGATTTTTTGCAGGGATTTTAAAAACTTGGGTTTCTTTAGAGCTCTAATCATGATGCAAAATTGAAACCAGATTTGTCTAAGAATATTCTTACACAGTTGTTGAAATCACAGAAAAAATTATGTTTCAGTCCTTCAAGATGGAACATTCTAGGTTCTGTGCATCTCACCAGATCCTCTCCCCATCTGCAGGGTCACTGACAATATCCTGGCCATGGCCCGCCCATCATCTGAGCTGCTGGAGAAGTACCACATCATTGAGCAGTTCCTCAGGTAAATGCTGTGTCGTTCACACACTGGAGTGAGCAAACTCATGTTTTCTTCTTTCCTTGCTTTTGTCTTCAAGTGAAAAAGTGCTTTCAGTTTAACAGTAGACAAGTAGACAGTGAAGAGCTCATTTCAAATAAGAAATTAAGGTTTTGAGAATAATTTATAATAAATGGCTAATTTTTTAAAATGCTAACTCCCAATATGATTAATTGCTCTTTTTCCTTTAAGCCATGGCATAAAAACAATAATCAACCTGCAGCGCCCTGGTGAGCATGCTAGCTGTGGGAACCCTCTGGAACAAGAAAGTGGTTTCACGTACCTTCCGGAAGCTTTCATGGAGGCTGGCAGTAAGTTCTTCCCACCCTCCTCTCTGTGAATTGTCAAGGACAGCTCTCAGAGACTTTTGTCTGCTTGGCCCTTAGGTTGAAAGGTGATGGTAATAAACACCTCCTGCATAGTAACAGGGCTCATGAAAAGTGAGGAGGAGCTAACTTTGACTTTAAGTAATGCTGTCGTTCTTCTTTGATGTTGCTGTTGAAAGTACAGGGTTTCTTTTTTCCTGGGAGAAGGATTTTAGGAGACCCTGTAGTATTAATGGTTAACATGTAGTTACTACCTGAAGTATGCCAGATGCTATTATCTCATTTATTCCTTAAAGCAACTGTGTAACGTAATTGTTATTGCTGTGTTACACATGAGGCCACAGGGGTTACAGGGTTCCTGATTTGCATGAGGCCACATAGCTTAGAAATGGCATTTAGGATTGGAACCTAGGTGTGCTCATGCTTTTACTGCCACCCAGGCCTGCCCCTGGAAGGACACCCAGGGTTCCTCTTGTGACAATCCCAGAAGAGCTTTGGGATGGAATCTACTCAACATGTATCCTTCTAACCAGGCTGGAGAGCATAAACATGTGCAGTATTGAAACTAGTTTTTAAGAAGCTAATGTCTAGCTTTTCTTTTTACACTGGGTAGAAAATCTGTATATACTATTAATATCTTTAGCCATTTATCAGTCATTTAGTTTGCCTGCTTAAACAAGATTGTATGTTTTGTCTCCATAGCCAAGTGACTTTAGAGTAGATCTTTGACTTTATTAATTTGTAATTCTACTTTTTCATAATTTTTTCCAGCTGAGTCTCAGCAGGAAATGTCTTAAGTAATATAGAAGGTGCTTTGTGAGGAAATGTTAACAATAAACTTACTGGAAATGTAAAAAGCCTATTATTTGAGGCCTGTATATCCAGTGAGATCCACACACCTTACATCTTTATATTTTTCATGAATTCACTCATTTTCTTCAAATGTCTTTGCAAGTATTTTTCCTATGTGTTGATTTTTTTCCCCCTTTTCTTTTTTTCATTGCCTAGTTTATTTCTACAATTTCGGGTGGAAGGATTATGGTGTAGCGTCTCTTACCACCATCCTAGATATGGTGAAGGTGATGACATTTGCCTTACAGGAAGGAAAACTAGCTGTCCATTGTCATGCAGGGCTCGGTCGAACAGGTAAATTCTAAGAGGTGGTTTTATTGTCTTGTAGGCATATTTAAACATAAAAGGAATATGATTTCCTACTTCTAAAGGTAAGTATTGTTCAGAATCCTATCAAAGGACTTCTACTTTTGGAGTCAAGTAGAAGTGAATAAGAGATATTTGAAATATCTTAAAACAGGTAGTTACCATGACCGTATGTTGGTGAGGTATATTTGAATGACTCATCATATTTAGTAAACAGATGGGTTGCTAAAACTAGCTAACTGACCACTCGGTTTTGTGATTTTCTTATTTAAAGGAAAAAAGTCAGCACTTGCTTTTAATACATATAATGGCTTTTAAAAATGCAATTTTCCTTAACCAAAATAACAGTGAAAATAACAAGTTGTTTCACCTACTATGTTCTAAGCATTTTACAGTTGCTGTCTTTTAAAATCTTTACTAACAATGTGAGTTGAAGAAACTATAGTTTGAGAAAAATGAAGTAATTTGCTACATTTAGTAAGTTACAGGGCCAAGATTTAAATCCATGGCTGTCTGACTCCAAAGCTCATCTGCTTTGTCCTTTCAGAAGTATAAGGATTTTGTTTGTGAAGGAGAGTCTATCTGTGCCTAGAATTCTATATAAAAATTAGTGATTTTACTTAAAAACTTAGCAGAATCTCATTACAGTGCTGGGTATTAGGGTAAAAATAAAGGCCTTTGGGTTGAAATCTTCATTGTCATCTGGTTCAACCAAACACCTGCAGCTCAGCGCAGTGTACCTGTACACCTGCGCAGTGATCTGCTACCTGCCTGGGGATCTGCACCTGCCCGGGAGCCTCTTCAGGGATGGGACTCAGTTCTGCTAGAGACTGTTAGCTCTTAGGATCAAGCCAAAGTCTCCCTGTTCCTGGGCATTAGCATGGTAGCTCTGCAGATATTTTACACTTATGCTAAATCTGCCATGTCCCAGTGAGAAAGATATGTTCTTCCCTACTATGAACTGGAGAACCTGCTGTTCTCAGAGGTTCTGATTTTCATGTGTAACAAGATATTCACAAACTTGTGAATCACACAAGTGTATTTGTTTTTTTTTTTTTTTTTTTGAAACAGAGTCTTGCTCTGTTGCCCGGGCTAGAGTGCCGTGCATCAGGCTAGCTAGCAGCAACCTCAAACTCCTGTGCTCAAGCAATCCTCCTGCCTCAGCCTCCGAGTAGCTGGGACTACAGGCATGCGCCACCATGCCCGGCTAATTTTTTCTATATATTTTTAGTTGTCCAATTAATTTCTTTCTATTTTTAGTAGTGACGGGGTCTTGCTCTTGCTCAGGCTGGTCTTGAACTCCTGACCTTGAGCAGTCCTCCCACCTCGGCCCCCAGAGTGCTAGGATTACAGGTGTGAGTCACCACGCCCGGCCCACACAAGTGTATTTGATTTTCCTTTTACTTTAATATTGACTATTACGTTTCAATTAATTGATTAATTATTACCTTTTCATTAGTTACTCATTTTAATTAGATGTTAATAAGACTACATAATGTTTATACTTTTAAGGCTGGCTTCTTTAATATTACTTAATTTTCCATAATTACTTATGGAAAAATAGAGTTATATCGTGGTCCAAAGAAAAACAGATAATAGCATAGATACAAGTCTGGAAGAATTGACAGAAAGAAAAATAGGCTGTGAATGTGAATAATCCCCAAAGAAGAAAGCACCCAAGCAGGGAGAGTACCAAGCCCGGATGTACCAGCAGTTGATGGCAAAGATGGCAGGGCAGGAGGTTCCATGCACAAAGTAGATGGATTAATTATATGGAAATTCTAAAGAGCTGTTTAGAGTAGAAAATAGAAACAGGATTTCCTTTCTTCTCTGTTACAGTTGGGGAGAATTAGGAGGATAGATGGGCCAGATGTACCGTTCACTCAGTCTCCCTCCCCTCCTGCACACTCACCTGTACTATGCCAGTGCCTGTGTTAGTCCATCTCTGGGGGCCCAAGATGGCTCAGTCATGGGGACGGGGTGCCATGTAGATAGGTAAAGTTCTACACAGTAAGGGGAGTGCAATAATAAACACCTGTACAAAAAGTTATCATAATTGTCCTTAAAATATGCCTCTGTTTATATGGTTTCTTAACACATATTCAAGTTTTAAATCATCAAAGAATGATAAATAAAATAAATAAATAAAAACATAAGCTTTTCTCATACCAGTCTTCTCTCCTTCACTTTTTTAGGTGTTTTAATAGCCTGTTACTTAGTTTTTGCAACAAGAATGACTGCAGACCAAGCAATTATATTTGTGCGGGCAAAGCGACCCAATTCCATACAAACCAGAGGACAGCTACTCTGTGTAAGGGAATTTACTCAGTTTCTGACTCCTCTCCGCAACATATTCTCTTGTTGTGATCCCAAAGCACATGCTGTCACCTTAGCTCAATATCTAATTCGCCAGCGTCATCTACTTCATGGTTATGAGGCACGGCTTCTGAAACATGTGCCAAAAATTATCCACCTCGTTTGCAAGTTGCTCTTGGACTTAGCTGAAAACAGACCAGTGGTGATGAAGGATGTGTCTGAAGGACCTGGTCTCTCTGCTGAAATCGAAAAGACTGTGTCTGAGATGGTCACAATGCGGCTGGACAAAGAGTTACTGAGGCATGACAGTGACGCGTCTGACCTGTTTAACCCCACTGCAGTGGCGGCAGATTTTGAGAATCAGGATGTGATTCTTTCCAGTGAGCAGGAGTTTGACCCCCTTTGGAAGAGGCGGAATGTTGAGTGCCTTCAACCCCTGACTCATCTGAAAAGGTGTCTCAGCTACAGTGACTCAGATTTAAAGAGGGCTGAGTCCCTCCTGAAACAAGGGGAGACTCCACGGATGGTGCCTGCCCAGGTCTTGCTTTGCCACAACTCCAGGCAGCAGAAACCTGTTAGCCACTGTTACGTCCCACAGTCTCCAGGACTAGATTTACACAAGGAAGCGTTGGTTCGAAGCACATTTTCTCTGTGGGGGAGTCAGTCTAAGTGTGGAGGCTTGGAAGGACTCAAAGATAATGGGTCATCACTTTTCCACAAGAGTAACATTCCAAAGGAAGCACAGCAGAGTACAGCTTTCTCTGAAGGTGTTTCAGGCTCACACAGCCCAGGGGAGCCAGTTTCACCCAACTTTCCAAATGCCCATAAGTATCTAAACCCTTCTCGCCAGCAAGTAGCCCACTGTCGGTGTGAAACTCATGGTGATTGGGGCCCTGGCTCTGTCAAGGAGGACAGCAGGACTCACCCAAGCCCTCTGGACTGTGGCTCTAGTCCCAAAGCACAGTTCTCAGCTGGACATGAAACCCAGGACAACAAAGATCTGTCTGAAGCAATTCCGCACTCTGCTTTGCTGTCTGGATTGAGTGTGGAAGCAAGGAGAATACTGGCAGCGAAAGCCCTGGCAAATTTAAATGAGTTTGCAGAAAAGGAGGAAGTAAAAAGGAAAGTAGAAATGTGGCAGGTACTCATACTTCATTTATGTCAGAGCAAAAGTATAATACGTTTTCCTAGGTTTATTTGTTACAGAAATATAAAGATATGTTTGCATGATACTAAACTTATGAGCTTCAGGACTCAGCTATGATGTGAGCCTGATATTGTAGACATAAGGGGCTGTTTGTGTGGTTTCATTTAAATCTCCATGTGCAAGAAAGCACTTAGCATGATGTTTGACCTGTACGAGGCATTGATATTGGTAGCTTCCTTCTTTCTTGCTGGGTTTGTAGGGGCAACCTGCCCACAGCAGACAGCATTAGAAACTGACGTATCTCTAACCTGAGGCCTGGCATGGGGAGCCACACTTTGAGAACTACTGACCTAGAGACATAAATAAAATTATTGTCCAAAGCTAACCAACACCAGTGTTGAGATGAGAAGAAGAGTGATGCTGTCTCCTCTGCATGTCTCCTTCAGACTTGCTGACCCTGCTCCAGTAGAGCCACTGTGGGAATCAGGAGAGCAAGTGGGAGGAAGCACAGACTGCCATTGTGCCATTAGTTTTATCTGAGATGAGGTGTTTTGGGTACATTTCTTGGCTTTTACTTAAATTAGAATTTGAAGTTTTAAATTTTAAGCCTTCTTGTGTTGTACTTTTACTAGGAAGACAATCTTAAGTCAGCTGCACTCTCTTTGCCCCAGAGGAGCACCTGGTCTAGGGAAAAGACGGGCCTATAAACCTAGTTACCAGAAACAGGCAAATGGCCCCAAAAGGGGGCTGACTCAGCGAGCCCTGACTCAGTGAAATATTGACTTTTCAGCCCATTTTCTACTATGAATTATTTTCATAGCTCTTTTCCATAGTGTACTGTTAAGGCATATAAAATTTCTAAGAGTGCCAGTATCTCTTCAGATGCCAAAGCATGAAAATTAAGTTTTGAGCTTTACACTAACTTCCAACTATATGATGGGAGGAGAGAACTTTTGATGAAAGCTTTGTTCATCAGAATTGTAGTGTTTTGCCTAACAAGTAGTTAAGTGTATTGCATTCTTCCAAGATGAGTTGCTTATTTACTACTCCAGACTGGAAAAGTCTTCCATTCAGTCAGCAAACGTGTCCTGTGCATTACTGTGTGTCAAGAGTTAGCAAGCAAGAGGGTCTTCCTTTATCTGGTGGAGCATCTCATACCCTCCCTCCTGGGTCAGCCCTGAGTGCCCTCAGCTGAATGACCACGTGAGCTCTGCTTGTGCTGATGATGAGGTCAGGACTTGGTCTGGGGCACACTGTTTCAACATGTAGCATATATGAAAGCATTTTTGGAGGTGAACCTTTAATGGAGATATTTTTGCCTTTTTTTTTTCCTTTCTAGGTTTTATTTTAGGCCTTGTAGTAATAATAATAATTTTAAAAACCCAATGAATTCCAGAAGAGAGTAAAATGAACATTATTTGAATAGTATAATGCTGCCTGTGCCTGTACTGTACCCTTTCACATATATTATTTCTTGTGATTTTCATAATAGTCCCGGGAGGCAGATGATACTATTTATGTATTCTTTGTTAATCTCATGAATTCAATATCACAGATGAGGAAACTCAGGGTGACAGAGGTTAAGTGACTTGCTCAATGTCACACGTATGTGACAGAACCAGGGTGTAGCTCATGGGTTTATCCCAGGACGTCTTTCCTAACATCACTGGAAAGCCTCAGGGACCATCGTGGTAGTCCTTTTGGGAAGAGAGTTTTTGAGTAATATCAGTTCTGCCCAGCTTGTCTCCTTATTAGCTCCATAAAATTGAATAAAAAGCTACTCTGTTATGTACATGATCTGTGGGATGGGAAGGAGTATGAGCAAGTAAAAGCATTGGCTTAATTTATAAGATGGTAAAGAGAAACCCAGTACCGGAAGGTCCTTGTGGTATGACAGAGACAGCACAGACCCTGGAGTAAGGCAGAACTGGGTATGAAGACCCCCGTTGCAATTTTCTAGCTTTGGGCTCCCAGGCAAGTAGTTTCATCTTTCTTGAGCTCCAGTACCTTTATCTGCGAGGGGCCTCTCTGCTGGGCGCTATGGCAGTCAGAGAGCAGTCGTGTGTAATAGTTTCCATCCCACTGTGTGCATGCTGTAAATACTGGATGAGTGAATGAATAAATGGTAACAATTATTACACTTATTACTATTGCAAATATATATTTGATTCACTAAAACATAAATCCGAACCCTGTCAAAAATTAATTAAAATTCACTTTCCCCTTCTCTCTGTGAGATGAAGTTTGAAAATCTTATGTCTCCAGGCATTTGGAGTATTTAGCAAGACCGTTTAGTTATTTTCACCCTATCAAATTTAGGATGCAGGGCTTGTTATTTGTTAAGTTCTACAGAGGATTCTAAAGAGGCATTTGAAAGAAATACACATACTCCATTTACCAGCTTTCAACTTTGCCAACTTTGCGTACTTCGAAGTTTCAGTCACAAGCTTTTCCTTAAATCCTAGGTTGATTTACAAATGTTCCCTTATTTATACTTCTCCTATACCATCCTACTTCTTTGCAGTAAATATTTCTGTTTTGTTTGCTAGAAGCCTGAAAAGGAAGACTCACTCTTCCTGAACTGTTTCTGTGGTTTCTGAATGAAGGAGAGAACTTGTATTAACTCAGCCCCTTCTCTGTGCTTTAACAGACCTTATCTCAGCCAATTAGCCCAGCACCTTGTGAGGCAGGGGGCGAGCTTCATAGAGGGAAACTAAATCTTAAAGTCCAGTGTCTTAGGCCAGTGTCCCACTGGGAGGAGTCCCAGATCCATACCCTAGAGCTTGAGCTTTCACTCTCGCAGGCCGCCTAAGGATCACCAGTGTCAGCCAGCGTCCCCCTCTCTTCTGCCTGTCTCTGTCTCTCTCTCTTTCTCTTCCTTTTTAGAAAGAACTAAATTCCCGAGATGGAGCTTGGGAAAGAATATGTGGCGAGAGGGACCCTTTTATCCTGTGCAGTTTGATGTGGTCTTGGGTGGAGCAACTGAAGGAACCTGTAATCACCAAAGAAGATGTGGACATGTTGGTTGACAGACAGGCAGATGCCGCGGAAGCGCTGTTTTTGTTAGAGACGGTAAAGTTGCTGCTAGACTAGTTAATGACTTTAACTAAGGCCCTCAGTGTAAATTTCACACACTAAAAAAAAGAAATCCATTATAAAAAAGGGAATTCATACTGAATCCCATATCTAGGTCTACTTTAATAGTTTTTCCAGATAAGAAAAGAAATTAATACCCGGTAGAAACATCTAGAAAATATAAAAATAAAAAGGGAAAATATCCATAATCTTGGGAGAGCCACTATAAACATTTTCAATTCTTCTTTTAATCGTATCAGTACATATATTAACTTAGTGAAAATTATTTTAACATGCAACTTTATATTTCGTTGTTGCTTAAAATTATAACATAGGTATTTTCCCATGAATAGTATAAGCTTTTCATAAATATTGACTGGAATGAGCATGCGATGCTCTAACAGGGCTTATGCCACAATTAACCACTTTATCACTGTTGGGTATTTGTTTCTACTTATTTACTATGAGCATACATATGGCAAAAATTAAGGAGTAGGTTGGAGTATGCACTCATTTATATTTTTAAAAAGGGATGTCACATATATACATATATGTATTTAATTTGTATGTGTATAAAATATAGAAGAATACAGAAGGAAAAATAAGAAACTGGTAATAGTGGTTGCCTTTAGGGGAAGATACTAAGAGACAATGGATCTAGGAAGGGGGGCTGGAAATTGTATGAATCCTTTTATATAGTTTAGTATTTTTAACCATATAAAGGTACTAAATTTTCTTTTAAAAATAGGCTTGTTCTTGTTTTAGGAAATAATGCTATATAATAATCACCCTTGAGTTACCTGCTGTGTTGTAATATAAGCATCTCATTGTTTCCAAATCTTCATTAAAAATTTTCTATAATTACTATACACACATACACGCCAGGCACACACACGTGCATGCAGAAACAGCCTCACACACAGACATGTGCACACACATAAACACATACCACAGTTGTGCAGTACACATCTTTTTTAAGAAAAGATTTTTCCCGTATCTAGAGTCCTTTTGTTAGAATATTTTCTCAGAAATTAAATCACAGAGATAAAACAGGAGAGGATGATGAGGGAGAAGATTAACCTTTGTCAGGTGGCTGTGGACCATCCCCTGGAGGCTGAGGCTGTCACTTTCTTCATCTAACCGCCTCCCTCCATAGCATCTGCAATGGGCTAGGTACACAGGTACTGACCGCTCAGTGCCTGACTGGTTAGTCCACATGTCACCATGACACGTCAGCATTTACTAGCTGAACCAAAATGATTATATCCAGAAATAACAAGAATAAAAAAATCAATCCTGTTCACTGCAAGAGAAACATCTGGTTTAAAATTGCACTGATCTTCAGATTCAGTTGTACATTGTGCACTAACTAACTAGCTTTGATACTATCTCCTGAAAGCTTTTCAGATTATATTAACATATAACAATAAACATTTGGTAGAGCTCTTGGTAGATATTTTACCATTTGAGATTATGAATACTTGGTCACAAACTAATTCTCAACTCTACAATTGTTTTGAATAGATTCCTTGAGGCATTTTTCAAACGACTGTTTTGATTTTGATTTCTGCAATAACAGGGACAACACCAGACTATTCTCTGTGTGTTACATTGCATTGTGAGCCTACAGACGGTTCCCGTGGACGTGGAGGAGGCTTTCCTTGTTCATGCCATTAAAGCTTTCACTAAGGTGGGTCACATTCTTTTTCTCCTTCTGTACCACAAATCAGCATCATCTTTGTAAATCAGAATCCAGAGGTCACCATCCTCCTCTAAAATAAAACTTTTAGCTGTGTTTCCCCTTTATGGAAATGTCTTTGACATTTCTTGAAGTTGTTGCAGAATTTCCCCCTCAAAAAAAAAAAAACATTTTCCAAATAGTGATATTAGGAAGAGCTGAATTGGGGGATTTTTAAAGGAGAACATTGAAACAAAGAGCTTTTATAATGGAGAAGAGAAACAAGTGGGTGTTGAGTACATAATTTTAAATCATGTGCCTCGTAGGAGTCAGAGAATCTTTGCTTGTTGAGCGAGGTCTACCTTGGATTTAAACAAAAAACCGTCTATTGAGAATTAAACATCCAACATTGCCAATCTGGTACGGTGTCCTGATTGGCATATCCTAAGGAAAGAGTAAAAAAATGTGTCCTTTCTGAAAGCACATCCTTTTGGCTTCTAGCAGTTTTTCCTACCTGAAATAAAAAGCCAGGTTCATGCCAAGAGCAAAGGTTCCCCTCACCCCTTCCGCTAATTTATTTGGTATCTCTCATATGTGATATGAAAATGCCATTAAACAAAGAACCCAGATTTTGAATGACAGTATCTGTGGTAACGTTAATGATAATAGCAGCTATCATTCCTACTCGTTCCCAAGTTGTGAAGATTCTTTCTTTTTAACATTTGTCCAATCTCCTTCTCTTCCACTCTTTCCAAAGTGATGTTCTTCCTGCAGTCTTCCTGTTCCTTGTCTGGATTTTATGGCATTAACCACCTGACATCTTTTCAGTCTGTTCCCCACAGTGTCCACAGTCAATGGTCTCAGATCCAGATGATGTGATCATTTGCATCTATATTTACGTTTTCATAGATGGAGAGGCTGTGTACCATGTGAGAGCGGTTGTGGTTTGATATTTAAAAAAATAAATAATTCAAACCATTATTAATGTTAATAAGGAGTTTTCATAAATAGACAATCTAGTGGTCAAGATAAAATTAAATCTCTGAATTTGAACAAAAAATCCTTAATATTGGTGTCTCTGAAAGTGATAGGAATTCTTTACAGCTATTGTTAGCCTTTTAAGGGGATACTAATGAAGAGTTAGATAAGCAGTTGTTTAAAATCTGTCTATAAAAATGTTAGAAGGCAGTTCTCCTTGGGTCTCTCATATTTCTACATAGTCTGATGCGCAGATGTGCTGACAGCTCTCTTTGGGGACCAGCTCTTCATGGGAGTCTGTATAGCTCTGCCTGTAGGCCCAAAGGCACGTGGTTCTGCCTTCCCAGGTAATCATGATATTTCCCTTAAGAGCAAAGGTTGGCAGGTTTGCTTGCAGCCCCCTTATAAAACATGGGGATTTCTTAAACTTCGGGCTCCTCAGCTATGATGCAAACCCCCTGCTTGTGCAGCCTCCCGCTGGGCCCCTCCGCATTGCCCCCACAGGACGTGGGAGGCAGGGGGAACCCATGTGAGTATGAAGCACGTGCAGCCATGAGGAATAAAGCTGTTTGTCTTTGACTCAGGAGCCTTGTATCTTGTACCAGTGTGATGCCATCAAGCTAAGTAGGGTAAAATCTCAGATCTTTTATAGTTATTGACAAAGGAACAACCTTCCCTTTGTCAAAATTTATCAGAGAAGGAGAAATTCCAGAAGGGGAGAGGCAGTGATGGTGTGATCCTGATTCTTTCTCAGCGAATCACACATTATTCTGGGGATGGGTGAGGTGGGGGACTGGAGTACTTACTCTGGCTCTCTGTCCTACCCTCACTCCTAACCCAGAGTATGGTAAACTAGGGCAAAGAATCCAAACGTGTACATGGTTCTTCCCATCAAGGGGAAAGAAACTAAATTTTATTGAGGATTTTTATATGCCAGACTTATGTTAGACTCTCATAGATGCAAAATCCTGAGGAAGAGGATATTGTGGTCTATGTTTTACAAAAGATGAAATCGAGGCCCCAGGTGGCTGGGTGTGAGATGGGGACCCACAGCTGGCAGGTAGAGAGCCAGGCTTTCTGTGCAGGTTGCTCTGACTCTGCCCCAGAGTGGCCACAGGGCCTCTTGGTGGGACACTTAAAGCTGATGTGCTTTGTTCTAATAAGGAATACTTTTGCCTTATACCATCAATGATTAGTCTCTGAATTAAAAACTTACTTCATTCTCACTATTGATTTGCTTCATGACTAGGTATATGTGATTATACTAAATATCCAGGCACTAGATTTAATTCTCGAGTTTTCATTCATAAGTTTGGTATTGGCATGGTTGGCAGTTCTAATATAGTCTTTCAATTAAAATGTGTAAAATTTGTTATGTATTTTTAAATTATATATATTTATGTTTATAAGACTTAGTTTTTTCTCTACCTCCCTCTTTTTTCCCCAAATAGAGACTGGTTAAAATTCTTGTTATAGTGTCCTGAATATAAATTTCTTTGTCACCAGGTTAATTTTGATTCTGAAAATGGACCAGTAGTTTACAGCACCCTGAAGAAAATATTTAAGCACACTCTGGAAGAAAAAAGAAAAATGACAAAAGACGGCCCTAAGCCTGGCCACTAGTGAAGCTGACTTTCTCTCAAGATGAGTATTTCCGACCTAAATACCCAGTTCATATGTGAATAAGTTGAAGTTTGCGGAGCTACCTTTTCCCATAGCACTTTACTTTGAATGCTGTTGTTTGTGCTGACAACGATCGTTCCTAGTTGGAGCAATTATTTATTTTAAAGTATCCTCGAACTACATTTTTGTTTTGGAAAATTGCCATAAAGTTGGTGCCACTTCCTTTTATTTATTTCACTGAATTTATAGTGTTGTATTAACATTTTAAATATGTGGTGTTTACATTCTTATTCTTTTTGATGTTTTGGAGAAAGTTGTAACTCATCTTTCCAGAACAACCATTTTCTTGACAGAACTCTTCCTGGAGTTTTTACCAAATAGATAATTTCAGTAGTAAAACCTCACTGTGTATCCATCCCCCTGACACATGACCTAAGAAAGTCACCAAGTGTCTTAAACTGTTTTATATTTGTTACCAAGAAGGCTATTGATAAAATATTTTTTAAAGAATTTTTTAAAAACTTTCTTTGAAATTATTTGTTTTTCCTTTTCATCTTACAGATGTGACCAGGGGTTTCAAAGTGTGTTATTTTTCAGAGCGATTTACTTTTACTTTAAGGGAGTGACTGTGAAGTGGTTGGGATTTTTTACTTGTAGTAAGTAGACTTGCTCTTTGTCAGGCTTCCAGACAACTTCGCCAGCCTTGGCTGTCATAAGGAGGCAGGAGCAGTTTTCAACACACCAGGCCTTATTCCCACTCCCTTGGGTTGCTGCTGAGCTAAACAGCATCTTTACAAAGGCAGTGGATCAGAGGCGGGCAGCGTGGGAAGTTGCTAAGAAGCAGGACTTGCCTCTGTTTTCCCAGGGACTCCACAGGGACAGTCTTGCGGGGGCCAGGGCTCTATGCCAGCCCTGCTTTATCAGGGTGCTGTGCCACTCTGCAGAGGCAACTGTCGGAGCTGGAAGAAGTCAGGGCTGGGCCACTGCTCATGCTGATGGTGTATGAGCGTGAGCAGCCTGGCCCTGGCCCCACACTCCCAAATCTGCCACTCCAAAGACCCACTTGCCTTAGGGCTCTATCTTTTGCTGCTTTTTTACCATGAGAAATAAAATTTTTAAATTGAATTTGACCCTATGCAGGTTACTTTCACCCTAACTGGCATCAGATAAGAAAAAGTGTCTAAACCAGTTTGTTATAGACCAAACTGTCAATCAGCAATTGAAGCCATGACTTTTGTTTAAATTAATATGTGGTGATACAAGGGGCCATGCCATGGACAGGATAGTAGTTTTTCCCAACAAAGGTGATACTGATCAGACCAATTTCAAACTGAAGAAGCTACTATTAATATTTAATCTTAAAGATGGAATTTCAGGGGAAACCAGACTAATTTAGAACAAATAAAATTCCTCCAACTCTTACATTCCTGAATTAAGATCTAGCACATCAAAAATATTTTAGTCATTATCAGTTTAACTAACTCTAATGACAAACGCTAAATGCAGCATTCTTCCACATTGTTTGAATTTTCTTGGAAAATCAAATCCAAGTTAATGAACTAGGTTGCCCACTCCTGAAATGTCTTATTTTCAAGTGCCTGGCCTGGGAAAGAAAGGAGGAAACAGTTGCATTTCATCCAAAGGTACATTATAAAAATAGGGTTTTTACCCCCAAAAAAGTTTGTTCTCAGTCACCTACACATAGGCAAGGACATGACAGCTCTTTTGACAAGCCAGCTGTTTGTTTGCCTATGCATGTGAAACGCTCGTTTCAAATTAGGGAACAGTCATGATGTGACCGCAGCGCTGCATGTCTGACAGTCTAAGCACACAAGCCCGAAAAGCCTGAAAAAGAGATATGATGGGGACATTAATCCGGCTATGTAAAAGTATTGTATTTATTTGAATAAAAGTGAAAAAAAAAAACCCTAGTCTTGTACTTCTTTACTTTGATACCCTTGGGCATCGTGCATACCCTGATGATACAGACAAGGTTTTGCTCTTTGATTGTCCTGGTGGGCAGATCGCCAAGCTCTAGTTAGTGCCAGCTCCTTCCGTTGGTTCAGAATGACCAAAGATGGAGGGGACCAGGATGGACGAGTCCTAAGAGGAATGATTGAAGAAAATCTCTAGGCTGACGAGATTCCTGCCATCCTATATTTGAGTGGATGAGGAGTTTTTTGTAGCCCAGAGGACAGAAATCTCATGTATTAGATGTTACAAGTTGCAAAATTCAGTTCAGCAGAAATGGAAATGTCAAGAGCACACACATACTAAGAACTTACGTGGGCCAACCATATCTGTACCTCACTGAATTCTCCACAAACTGAGAGAGACATCTTAATCATACCTGTGTGACAAACGATGCCAAGTCTGATGCACTCCACTCTGTGCCCTCCTCCCTGCTCATGCTGCCTGCCTGTGGGACTCTTAGCCAGGTTAAGCTGCCCAGTGCAGAGCACCGCCAGGACCTCAAGGTCCTTTTAGCACAAGATTTCATGACAGTGTTAGCACCATATTGTCCATAACTTCAGTGAAACCATCGCACATCCCTGTCCTCTGCAAAGGACTGAGTTTGCTCCGTTACTATCATGTGATGATCTCTAGCATATCACACTTAGAGGAAGTGCATAATCTCTTCCTACTTCAGAGAGCTTGCCGATGGCTGCTGAGAGGTGTTGCTGCTGCTGGTGTAGAGCTTGTTTCATTCATTTGCATACCTCAGAAATTCTATGCTGATTTACGTAGTCATTTCTTTAACCAGCCTCCCGGTTTTATCTGAGAAAAGAGTATTTGCTTCGTCACTCTGGATTCTGTGAAAATGACCATATATCATAATTCAAGAGATAGATGAAAGTTTCTTTTTTCTCTGAAATGGAGGATACTTGCCGATAAGCTCAGGTACTATTTCAGACTGTTCTCCAGATGTCTGAAAAAAATATTCAGGGACAGTGTATTGCAGCAGAGTGCATGCCCCAAGCTTTTTACTTTGACAGCCCTCAAATATTTATTTTGAGGGTTGATGAAAAGTGACAGCTTCCTCATAGGATCTTTATTGTTCTTCCAAATTAACAAGGATTAATATATTTTCAGTGCAGGTAAATTGAGAATGACATTCCCTTTGGTACTTCTTATTTTTATGAATGTGGCCCCAAGAATAGCATGTTACCTAAGGGAGCCCTTCTCAACACTAGATGGTTGAAAATTGTCTACAGATAAAGTGACAGAAGAAAAATTCAACAAAATCCTGCTCTTTAGTGGTGCACTATTTTTTTAGTTATGCTTTCAGGCATGAGCTGATCTCTGATTAGCCGAACACTGACAATAAAACTGATTTATAAATAATCACAATGGAGCCATTCAGTAGTGGCGCTTGACGAGTCTTTGTTCTAAGCCATTCAGTCATTAAAAGTAATGTCCCAATAAGACTTTAATGTCATGAAACCTTTGCAGTGAAAATAAAAGTTTCATATACTCACTATGATTTATATAGTGAGAGAAGGCTGCCAAGCCCTTGCCTCCTGGCTTTCTTGATTAAAATGGAAAAATATTTTACTCATAAGATTGCCTGTTTGGGGGAGAAGTTTCATTTTGGGCATGGCTTCCTACTTATACGTGATCATTAGGTTGCAGTCTGTGCCAATACCCTCTGGTTTTGATTTAGTGGATTGCTTTATCATTATTTTTTCTCTTTTTAAAAACAAACTACTCAAGTTTTGATTTAGTTTGAACCATATGTAGTGTCCATTTTTAGGTGAAAAATTACCAAATATTGGCTGTTTCATATGGTTCAATCTAATATTAAACTTAATGTTCCTGGGTCTGGTAGGTGACATTTCCTGAATTAATTTTGGTACGGTCTAGATTAGATATTTTTTTAAAACTATCCTGCATGCTCACAGTAGAATTCCAATACAAGAGACCAATATGAAACTCATTCTCTCAGCAACAGATTTGTGCCTATTCTGCTTGCGTCTCTCCTGAATCTGAGGACACACAGGAATCATTTATTCAGTCATTCATCCTTCCATCTAGGAGATAAGTTGCTGTGATCTGAATGTGTCCCCCAAAATTCATGTGATGGAAAATTCCCAATGCAATGGTGTAGGGAGCTGCAGCCTTTTGGGAGGTGTTTAGGTCATAAAAGGGCCTGATGTAGGGAGTCTAGTCCTTATTTGCCCTTCCATCTTCTGCCACATGAGGACACAGGATTCCTCTGCTCCGGAGGACACAACGCTCAAGGCACCATCTTGGAAGCAGAGAGCAGCTCTCACCAGATGGCAGTACCTTGATCTTGGCCCTCCCAGCCCTCCAGGTCTGTGAGAAGTAAATGTCTGTTGTTTATAAGCTACCCAGTCTAAGGCATTCTGTTATAGTGGTACAAAATGAACTAAGACATAAATTGGTACCAGAGGAGTGGGGTGTTGCCATAACAAATACCAAAAAATGTGGGAGTGGCTTTGGAACTGGGTAATGGGCAGACACTTTTGAAGTGAATGCTGGAAAAAGCTTATATTACTATGAATGGAGCATTAAAGGTGATTCTGGTGAGGGCCCAGAAGAGGAGGAAAGCTGTAGGGAAATTTTCATTCTTCTTAGAAATTATTAGTAATTATTAATATATAAGTGGTTATGAACAGAAAGTTGGTAGAAACATGGATAGTAAATGCTGTTCTGATTAGGTCATAGACAGAAACGAGGAAGATTTTATTGGGAATTGGGGAAAAGACCACCCTTATTAAAAAGTGGCAAAGAGCTTGGCTGAATTATGTCTGTTTTGTAGGACTTTGTAAGAGGCAGAGCTTGTAAGCGATGGGCTAGGATGTTTGACGGAAAACATTTCTAGTCAGCGAAGTGTTCAGCATGCTAAGTGGCTTCTCTTAACTGCTTATAGTAAGATGAGAGAAGAGAAATGATTTTAAAGCAGAATTTATGATTAAAAGGGAAGCAGAACATAAAGATTTGGAAAAGTCTCAGCCTAGCCATGTAAAGAATTAAAAGTGTGTTTAGGAGAGAACACCAAGGATGTGACCAAGCTACCCTTTGATAAGGAGATCAGTGTGGATAGAAGAAGGCCAGGATGTTGGGAGAATGACCTCAAAGGCATTTCAGAGATTGGGGGGAGGGGGCAACCATACCCGTCAAAGGCCCAGAGTGCTGGGGACTTGGGGGCAGAACAATTTTGAGGAGGGGCCCAGGCTGCCCACAGGACCTCAGCACTCACTGCTGAGGGCTGCCTAGGGTCTCTGCTTCCTGCGTTCTGAAACAGTGCTACTTGGCCACACCAGCACTGACTCAAGCAGGCCTGGGTGTGGCTTAGGCCACTACTCTGGCGGGCACAAGAAGTGAGCCTTGGCAGTGTCCACATGGTGCTAATTCTACAGGTGTGCAGAGTGCAAGAGCTGTGGAGGCATAGCTTCCTTCACCTAGATTTCAAAGGGTGCTTCACAGAGTTTCAGGGCCCAGGCAGATCTGCTACAGAAGTAGAACCACTGCAGAAAGCCCCCACTAGAGCAGTGCCTAGTGGAGCCACGGGAGCAGGGCTCCAGAATTGTAGAGCCGCCAGCATGCAGTGCCGGCCTGGGAAAGCTGCAGGCTTGTGATTTCAATGTGTGAGAGCAGAAGCATGGGCTATGCCCCAGCGAAGCTGTGGGGGTGGGGCCTGCCTGGGGCCATGGGGACCTAACCTCCCCTTCGGTGTGTCTGGAAGGTAGGACATGGTGTCAAGATTTAATGTTTGTCCTGCTGGGTTTTGGACTTAGTTGGGACCCATTACTCCTTAATTCTTTCCTTTTGCTGCTTTTTGGAATGGGAATATTTATCCAATACCTGCCCCACCACTGTATTTTAGAATTATAAACTTGTTCGATTTCACAGGCTCACAGGTGGAGAGCAGTTTGCCTCAGGATGAATCGTACTTTGAGTCTCACTCATAACTGATTTAGATGAGACTTTTGAGTTGGTGCTGGAACAAATTAAGACTTTTGGGGCTACTAGAATGGAATGAATGTATTTTGCATGTGAGAAATGTCAACAGAAAAGAACCCAAACTCTGTAAAATAATTTCAAGAGGTTTGTTCGGAGCTGAGTATGTGTGACCATGGCCTGAAGAGCCACACCCAAGAAGCCTTGAGCAAGTGGGTCATGCTGTGCTTCGGTTACAGTTTGGTTTCATACATTTTAGGGAGACAGGAATTACACATAAAATCCTAAATCAATACATGGAAGGCATACATTGGTTTGGCCCAGCAGGATATCTCAAATCAGGGGGCTTGTAAGTTATAGGTGGGTTTAAAGGTTCTTGGATTTGTAATTGGTTAAAGAAATGAAGCTTTGTCTAACGGCTTGGAATGTTTTAAGTTAAGATGAGGAAGTCTGTTAATCAGAGACAAGCCACTGGACATATACTCAGACTCATGAGATCTGTTGAGTGAATTGATGACCTGCTGTTGTGGTTTAACCTTTGCCTTACATGGCCTTACTATCTTATTGTTACAAAGAGTAACTCCAGAAGGGAGGGGGCACAACTTGGCATCTCTGACCTCCCTTCTCCTCGTGACTGACTGGCAACTCAGCTTTAAGGTTTTTCTGGGGTCCCCTTGGCCAAGAGGGAGACCATTCAGTCAGCTAGGGGATGGGGCTTAAAATGTTTATTTTAGTTCACATAAGCACATAAATTTGGGGAGTCAGGGGCAGAATGTTATGGTCGGAATGTGTTCCCCAAAATTCACGTGTTGGAAACTTAATCTCCAATGCAACAGTATAGGGAGGTGCAGCCTTTTAGGAGGTGTTTAGGTCATGAAGGCTCTGCCCTCATGAATGGATTAGTGCCATTATAAAAGGGCTTGACAGATGGAGTTTGGTCCTTTTTTGTCCTTCCACCTTCTGCCATGTAAGGCCACAGGATTCCTCCCCTCCAGAGGATGCAG